GGCTTTAAGTGTACTCAAGGGGATATTTCCAGGGGCAGGTACCTTCCCCTGCATGCAGCTGGCTCTGGGGTGGAATAGAGTGGCTCTTCAGTGATGCACACCAGTGTTAAGCAACGGCTGAGAACAGGAAGTCCAGAATACAAATCGTCACTCGTGCAAACTGCATGGGGAATTCCAAGGCCAGAAGGGACCGCTGTGATCAGCTAGTCTGAACTCCTGTAAAGTGGAGGCCTTCCCCAAAACCATTTCTCGAGCAGAGCTCTAAGAACAACATCCCATCTTGATTTAAATATTATCCGTGATGGAGAATCCACCATGACCCTTGGTAACTTGTTCCAATGGTTAATTACCCTCCCTGTTAAAAATTTACACCTTAGTTCCTGTCTGAATTTGTCTAGTTTCAACTTCCAGCCATTGGATCGTGTTAGACCTTCCTGTGCTAGACTGAAGAGCCCCTTAGGAAATATTTGTTCCCAATGTAGGTGCTTATAGCCTGCAATCAAGTCACCCCTCACCCTTCTCTTAGAACAACATCCCATCTTGATTTAAATATTGTCCGTGATGTAGAATCCACCATGACCCTTGGTAACTTGTTCCAGTGGTTAATTACCCTGAAGTGAGCTGTAGCTCACGAAAGCTCATGCTCAAATAAACTTGTTAGTCTCTAAGGTGCCACAAGTCCTCCTTTTCTTTTTGCAAAGACAGACTACCACGGCTGCTACTCTGAAACCTAAATAGCTGGAGCTCTTTGAGTCTATCCTAACGGATGTTTTCTAATCCTTCTTGTGGCTCTTCTCTGAACCCTCTGTAATATATCAAGATCCTTCTTGAATTGTGGGCACCAGAACTGGGCACAGGATTCCAGCAGCGGCTGCACCAATGTCAAATACAGAGGTGAAATAACCTCTCAGCTCCTACTTGAGATTCCCCTGATCATTCATCCCAGGATCTCATTGGCTCTTGTGTCATGCTGGGAGCTCATGTTCAGAGTCACCACTTCCCAGGATAGAGTTCCCCATCCTGTAAGCATGGCCTGTGTTCTTTGTTCCTAGCAGTAGGCACTTACATTTTAGCCATGTTCAAACACCCATTGTTTGCTATGCGCCCAGTTTACCGAGGGATCCAGATCTCTCTGCATCAGTGACCTGTCCTCAATTCTAGGTGGGCAGGATGAAAGAGGGATTTGGTGAGGGCAAGAGGGGTTAAGAGTTTGATGCTTTTTATAAAGGGTGCTGTGGGATCTTGACTAAACAAGTGGGTCTGGGGACCTTTGGTTTCAGTCTCTTTCAGTAATGATGCTGCTGAGGATTTACCTAACACTTTTCATCAGGTGATCCAAAAATGTGTTACAAAGGATTTGTGTTCTACTGCTGGGGAAACTGAGGCATGAAGCAGTGAAGTGACTTGGTCAAGGTCCCCCAGTAGGCCAGTGGCAAAGCTGGGAATGGCACCTGGGTCTCCTGAGTCCTAGCTCAGTGCTCTGTCCACTAGGCCATGCTGCTTTCAGTAGCACACCAAACCACGATACCATGCTGGAGAACTCGTTCACTGTTGACTCACTGGATAGACAGTTCCTTACTGAGACTGGGACTTTTGATAAAGCTTGTATCCCATGGGATTTCAGCATGGAATTCCCTTAGGCTCTCTTGCAATTCCCAGCCTGCGATTACAACCCCACTTCCTGAAATAAACTTCAAACCAAAATAGAAAAAAGAATGTGTGAATGGCACCAACGCAGCTCTGCAAGATTTGTGGATATAAGTGGCCACCTAATCTGGTAGGCTCAAGAGTTTAACGTGGGTGAATTGCTGGAAAATAAACTAACCGTAGTGGGGGATCCAGTCCTGAAAATGAGATCTTAAAAGGGTTGTAATTATCCTATGTGAAACAATACTAGCTTTTTGCTTTTGTCTCTGGCTACGGTTTATTAACGTTAGGAAGAGAAATCCTGTCTGTAGGCCTGTCGGATCTGATGCTTGCGTTAATGATTTCCAGGATGTTAAATACATTCTGAAATGAACTTTGCAAAATGGTTGTAAGGAAGTGTGGCAGAAGGCTTAACTGTTACAGTAAATCTCTTTATGCAGAAGCAGGATGCTAGGAAATCATTAGCAATGTCCATAAAACAGGATCCTGTCACTATTCTATTCTAGTCCTACTTTATTGTCCTTTGAGTCACATCTGGGTGATGCTAAACCAAAGTGAAGGATCCCGACTCATGAAATAAAACAACTGATTTTTGCTGGGTGGCAAGATTTCTAGATTCTATGGGCTATTTTCTGACTCATGGGAATGAGAGGTGGGATAGGTTAGTGTCTTTTTCACATAGTCATGTAGCACTTCATCTAGCTACCATAACTTGCCTTCAGGCTCAGGAAACCAAAATACGAAGAACAAATATAAAGTTTCCATAAAAGAGAGTGTGTGTATATATACAGTGATTCAGTTTGCAGCATCCTGCATCTGAACTGCTTCACAAAATGGCAGGGAAATTCCTGTGTGTGTAAAGAAGCAGTAGCCAGAAAACACCCAGACATCCTTTTCCAGTTACATAGCTGCCTGCAGCTCAGAATCCCTCTAATCCATCCTTAACCCCCCCAACCCCAGGCCAAAAAAGATCTCCTTGTCATTTCTAATTCAGTCCCTTTGACTCCTTAAGGTATGGCTAAACTGCATTCTAACCCCAGGCTCTGACTCTGGTTTCCACCAAGCCTGCTTTCCATCCACACATAAATCTGCCTGATTTGGGTCAGCAAGCACTCAGGACCTAGGTCCCTGCAAGGGCGTGGGTCAGAACCCAAGTCCTGCTCTGACTCTGGTCCATCCCCTTGTTATTTTGCAGTGTGGATGCAGCTGAAGCTGCAGATCCTAGCCAAGACTGCCTAGTTCAGGATGGCTGCATTAGCACGGCTGTGAGACACGGGTCCAGCAGTTGGAAACCCGGGTTTACAATGCAGTGTGGACACTCCAGCGCAGGCTTGGAAACACCAAGTCCACGAGCCCAGGTCCCACAGACTCAGTTCACAAAGCAGTGGAGACAGACCCTTAAAGTCAATACCTTTCTGATACTTCTATGTGTATTTAGTCGGCTGCAAAAATAATAATCAAAAAGCACTTTCTCTTGAATTGTTTTGAAGAAAAGAAGCTGGTTGCAGTTTTGGAAAATTGACATCTGTTCAGTGAGAGGCTCGTAGATCCTTAAGGCCTGAAGGGACATTTGTGATCATCTTGTCTGACCTCCTGTATAACACCCAGGCCAACAAATCCCACCTTGTCATTCCTACAGTGGAAGAAATCCTTCTTCTCTGCTAGGTGCAGTTGTTTCACCCACAGCCAATAACCTTTCAGAAATGTGGTGAGGGTCAGGTTGCTCTGCAGAGAAGAGAGGGCTTTGATATTTATCCCATTTATGATTGTTGTTTGTTTTTTAATACAAAACAATGGATTCCTGCTCAGCAAGCTCGGGGGTGTGTGTGTGTGTGGAAGATAGAAACAATTACAGAGGTGATAAAACAGGGGCATGCAGATAATTACACCATAAATCACCAGATCACCGCAAAAGTGAATGGAAATACTGTTCCAGTGTTAAGCAAATGTTACTTAGGGTTTGAAGCCATAGAAAGAGGCTGAGTGGGATTATGTTGGTCAGAAGATTGGAAAGTAGGTGACAAGGCAGGATGGTCTTAGGGTTAAGGCATGGGAGTGGGACTTCTTGTGTGATTTTGGGCAGGTCATTTAATCTCTGTGCCTCAGTTTCCCCACTTAGAGGAAATATTATGCTACTTTCCCCCCCCCCCCCCATCTGTCCTTGTCTATTTAGACTGTGACCTTTTTGGGGCAGGAGCTGTCTCTTATTTATGTGATTTTTACAGCAGCTCGCACAATGGGCCCCTGATTGCAGTCGGATCCTCCAGATGCTACTGTCATAGAAATAATGGTCGATTGTAGAATACAGTCTCTGCCTGCAGACTTTAGATTGTTCAGTTGGGTCCAATCCTGCCAGTGCAACTCCCATGGCAGTCAATGGGAGGCCTGCGTGAGGAGTGCTTGCAACACAAAGTGGGAAGAACTAGGCGTGTGTAACCCCCTAATGAATGTGTGTGTTCGGCAGAGAGGGGTAACTGTGAGGATAGGAGTTGGTACAGCCCCAGCTTTGTTCTGTAACAGCTCATGCTTTTAGCTCTGGAAGTCCCTGGTTTCGTACCTGGTATATTGGCCAAGAAGGCAGATGTCACACATGGAATGTGGAATGGAGTCCTTACCCTGGTATGGTCCGTTGCGCCAACTCACCATGAATCCTCAAGTCATCCATTCACGGCCCTTGTATGTCTGCCTTTGTGAGATACATCTGGCCCAACGGATGTATGTTAACTGAGGTGGCTTTGTGCACGCTACCCATGTTACCTTAGAGCAGCTGGATTGGAAAAGGAATTGTCTTGTCTAAGTAAGCTTACTAACTGCTTTAGTATCCATATGGCAAACACATTTACATGTCAAAATTTACTGCTCGAAGTAAACACTCTCTCTCATTCATTTATAATAATCTAGAATATCAAAAGCTTGAAAATAATCCACTGCAAAAAGGAGTGTAAATATTTTTCTGCACAGCATAAGGATCCTAGTTGCGATACATGAAACACAAGGTCCTGCCACAAGCCGCAGAGTATTTGCTGCTAATGCAGGGAATTAAATTTTTTATAAGCCGCTACCAATGAGATCATCATCTAGCACTGCCAGAAAAAACCCACAGCATTAGCAGCAGCAAAATTAGATCACAAATTCAGTTTTGAAGCCCAGTAAATGGTTCCTCTGAGTCTGCGTTAATGGCTAGGAAGAGCAGGCTAACAAGGTTAGTTGAGCCATATTCGGTTCCCCTTTTTTAGCTTCCTGCTTTCCATTCTCAGCCATTTCTCAAGTTACGCTCAAGCAGTGATTCGTTCAGGAAGAGCTACCAGAGCGCCAGCTGTTTAATGATTTATGATGCATGCAGCATAGTAGCTGCAAGAAGTGCTTGGAAATGAAACCGGGCAGACTTTCTTTCCCTTCCTGTAGTCCAAGGCTTGATGCTTCACTGTGGTACTTCAAATTTCAGGCTGATGGGTCTCTACTGAAATCAAATGATGATTTCCTGCCTCCTGCGGGCGTTGTGAGGGTAAATTATTTCATGCACGGCGCTTGAGGTATTGTATTCCACAGCTATTTGGATTTGTTTGTAATGTTTCAGCATTACAGTAACTAGACTGCATGCGTTAGAAGCCGATGCAAACCTATCAAAATGCAGCCTTAGGAAAGAGATCCGGGCAGATGACAGATCTGAGGAAACCAAATGCTGGACAGTTTAGAGTTACTCGGCAATTCTGTAGCACTTTCTGAGGTTCTTGGGTGAAAATGCTCTGCAAATATTAAATCCTCCCCATCCACAGGAGGTAGGTTATTAGCCTCCTTCTCTATGGTGTGCAAGGAGTGGGATGCAGGAATCTTGTCTCCTAGTACTGTCCTCTAACCACTAGAGTGTACTAAGGGCCTGACTCAGTGCAAGTCTTTCCATTGACTTCAAATGGGGCTGGATGGGGCCCTAAATGACTAAACGCAGGTCTACTGTCTCTTATTACAAACCTCCGTCTAGTGCCATCTGGGGTAACTTTCATCTTTATTATTGTAATCTAGGCTACAGAGAACTTTATCCATGCTGAAAAACTGCTCCCATATCATTTGCAGATGCCCTTCTTCCACATTGAGTCTAATTGTCCTCTTTTCACTTATGCCATTGTGGATCAGAAGTAACTCCAGTGACTTCAGTCCCCACACCCTCTTCTGTATTCAAGTGGTTGTAGGATTAGAATAATAGAATCATAGAAGATTAGGGTTGGAAGAGACCTGAGGAGATCATCTAGTCCAATCCCCTGCTCAAAGCAGGACCAACACCAGCTAAATCTTCACTTCTTTTCCTAAACTGCTGTGCCCTGTTAAAACAGTTGCCAAGGTGCATCTCAGAGGTGGCTGCTGTCCAGTGGTGGACAAAGCAAATCCTATATTGTGCATTCATAGAGTGCTTTGACATGAAAGGCACCATACAACTGTAATTAAGTAGCTTTATGCTGGCAGTTATGTAGCTCAAACATGAGGCTTATGTCTTCCATTAGAATGAAGACCGCCAGGCTCTCATCTGAATTGTTGCTGAACAAGTCTGAGCCATAATGACCGATATTTCATTAGCAGAAGTTCTCTAGAGAGAGGCTTTTCAGTAGCTATAGTTACTCTGTATATTAATGGAGACCGGACTTGCAAAGGGGCTATCTACATTGCAGACTGAGGTTTTAGGAAATCCATCACAGCCCAGTTTAACTTGATCTAAGGCAGCTGTCACCATGGAGAATGGATAGACTGGGATCATACCTAGGGATTCAAATTTGAATGATAATGGAAAGGAGGAAGAAGAACAAAGGGGAAGAGGGAAATGAATTTAGCTGTCAAGGCCTGAACATGCTTACTGCAGATTAAGTTCTTTTTGATTTCCTTCCCGTGCTGGTTGCATCTTAAAGATGGATCTGCCACCAGAGAGACTGGATGCTGCTGAAGGAGAGTAGATCTTGGAGAAAATAGCTGGCACTATGATCTGTTTGTCCTTGTTGTGGGGTAGGAGGTGGTGGTAGATAGATACATAGCCTGAGCTTTGCAACAGTGGACAAAGAATTTATTTTATCTTGAATCCGTCTGAATGTTGTTCTGGTTCTCAAATCATCACTGCGGTGAGGGAAGGCTTTTAGGAATGTTTCTCATCGCTGTATAGTTTTGGCCAAATAGAGTATTTATTTCTTTGTGGTAGCACCTGAGAGTCCTACATACAAATACAAAACCAAGTCTGAGACTTCTTTATGGAGTTACAAAAATTCTTGCTGCAGATTCATGGTCATAAATGTAACACACTGGCCAAGTGTGGCTTTCTCTCCTTCTAGTGTCTGGACTAATTAAAGAATAGAACTGATTGGGAAACGGTATGCCTATTTCCCTGAAAAACTTCAGAAGAAACCCATTGTTTCTTCTGAAAACTTAAATGGAATTTCTATTTAAATTTGGTTTTCAGGACCCAATTTTTCGTAAATGAAAAACTTCAACCATCTTGAACAAAGAGGTTTGAGTCTGCTACTGCCTCTGAACAAATGGAGCTAGTCTTTTAGCTCAAACGGTAGAGGTTCTGGCCTTTACATCCAGAGCTCCAGGGTTCAGTCCCAAAAGGTGGCCTCCCGCGGGCCTTGTTACATGAAGGGGGGGGGGTGTTGGTTGGTTGGTTGGTTTAAATATTGCATCAATGATCTCTCTCATTTGAATCTAATCTGGTGTCCTATTCATGTCGAGTGAGACACTCTGCAATTGGGACAAAAGGCGTAACTCTGGCCTAACACAGGACCCCATTCAAAGCAGCATTTAGGGAATATAAGGCTTTTTTTCGTAATGACTTCTTTATCACTGCAGTGGATACAGTGGGTCCCCAAAGTGGCTACTACAGGAATGCACCCACGCTTTGTTGATTTACCCTTTTTCATGCTACCCCGCTGACCCGTAGACAGCTTCTCTGCAGGAATGCAGTTTGAGACTCTGATGCAAAAGAGAGAGGCTTTGAACCGCCTGATAGATGGCTTCTGCTGGCTAGGAATAGGTTATGCTGCTCCTGACCTTGCGAGCCGTGTTGCCTCCCCTTCCACCCCCACATCCCCCCCGTTCACTGAAGCTTTTGAGATGATGTGGCCAGAAATCCAATTATTCACCCACTAAATCAAACTGCCAATCTCGGAGAATGAGTATTTCCAATCCGAACGTGTCAGAGCGGTGCACCCTGGGGACCGACTGCCAGGGAGCGATAGCAAATAGCAAGGCCACTGCTAGGCCTCGCACTTTAGACTGCTCAAAAGTGACTTTTCAAAGGAAGGCCGCCTCTTTTCTTGTGCAAACAGGATTAAGTTAAAGGGAGACGGTTTTAGCACAAGTAACCTAAATAGCAGCCCACTGGGGAAGGTAGCTTGGCTTAATGGGCTGAGCACTAGAGTGGGACTCAGAAACCACAATTCTATTCTTGGCTCTGCCACTTACTCGCTATGTGACCTTGGGCAAGTTAAGCCTCTCTCTGCCTCAGTTTCCCCATCTGTAGAAAGGATGGGGATGATATTTTTGTAATGCGATCAAGGCATGAAACGGGCTTATATTATTAGAGATCATTGTATCTTAATGTCCCTGAACTTTTGGTGGTGGTATCAATCCAGAGCCAAACTCTGTGGCTTGTGCCGGTCTCTATGGGTGTGTCTACACTGCATTGAAAACCCGTGTCTGTGAGACCTGGGCTTGTGGACTGTGTTTCCAAGCCTATGTTTGAAAGTCCAAACTGCATTGGGTTTATAGTTCCTGGCTCTGGGTCTCACAGCCGTGCTAATGCAGCCATACTACACTACACAGATCTTCCCACTCAGGTTTGTGGCTTGAGCTGCATCCACACTGCAAAATTAAAGCATTTGGACCAGAGCTTCAGTGGGACTTAAGCCCTGACCCACCCCCTAGCAGGGTCCTAGAACCTTGGTCTTTTGTGCTTGCTGACCCGAGTCAGACTAAGTGTCATCGTAAGTGGGTCTTGGGTCAAACCTAAGTCAGAGCCTTGGCTTAGTGTATTGTGTAGACAGACCCTATGTTCTTCTCACTCAATAGGTCATGGTTATCTTTGTGCTAAACTGTTTGGGACTTCCAGGAACATATACCAAATTCTTGTGATACCCAGTCTGTGTCGGTTGCTTCCTAGCCTGTCTTTATGCCTTCTCTTCCTTTTCTATTCCCTTCGGTACTTTTCAGTCGCAAGTAAAAATAACCAGTCACGTGTACAGTGGAGAGAGCACTCAGTGCTTATGGTTAAATTTTTATTTCATCTGAAAATGATGAGCTAGAGAGTTCAGCCCCAAGTCACACAAAGTAAGGTATAAAAGCTCCCAGCTTGCACACAGAACCAAGCCAATGCACTACAGTTTGAAGCCAATCGGTATGTTTAACCAAAATACAGCATTATTTCTTATTTTTTGTGATTATTTTTGTTTCAGGAAGAAACCGATAAGAAGTACAAAAAGGTAAATGGCTGACTTTTTTGTGTTTCCAAATACTGTGTGGTTTGCCAATAGAATTATGCAATTTTACAACTTGTCAAAGCTGCAAGACCAGACGATAGTATAGACACACATTAGGGGGCGTAAGAGGGGAGCGTAAAAGTAATAAAATAAAAGACCTACATGAATAGGGAGAGGAGGGAACCGGGAGAAAGGGAAAAAGAGGAGGGTTGGGAGAATGTTGAGATGACTCAAAGAATTCCAGATCTCCATTTTTATCCAAATGTATCTAGAAATAGGGTCCAAATTTCTTCAGAGTAATAGAATTGCTCTCTCTGGAGATAAGCTGTTTCTTTCTTTGGCCGATAGGTCGGACAAGTGTGAATACCATTGCTCTGTTCTGGGCATAAGCGTCCTCTTCCATTTTTGTAAAATGCCTCATGATCATTACAGCCTGCCAGAACGGCGGTGGAGTTAAACCCAGCTCAGCAGGTTTAAAAAAAAAAAAAAAAACCTAGGGTATCATTTTTGGCAGAGGTTTGGCTGCTGAAGCTGGGCGCTATTTTAACGTTTGTGTCCCCCTCTTTCTGCAACTGTCTGATTTGTTGGACAATCCTATAACACATGCGTCAGGGTCTCTTTTTCTTTGTTACAGTGCCCACAAATATCCGAGGATAGGGTCTTTATCTTGTCCCATTTTAAGGGACTACTTCTTATAATGCTCTTCAGTTCTCTAGCACTTCAGAGCCAAGGACCTCAAAACATTTTGTAATATTGTCTAAACAGTAGAAATACCAAGACTGCAATGTCACGAGGGGAGTGTGTTCTGGTGATGGAAGCAGGGGACTGGGAATCAGAACTCCGGACTGTTCCATGGACTTGCTCTAAAGTCCCTGTTCTATCAATGGAAACTGATTCAATGCTGGGACATGTTTTTCATTTCAAGGGCACACGGCGGCTTTCTTGCTGCAGAATACTATATATTGACAAGGTCAGGGTTCCTCCTGCTTCATTTGATTTCCATTTCTAAAGTGCTTTAACTGTGATGAATGGCAGTATTGAAGAATGAAATAACATGGTACTGACCCTTTGCAAATGGG